ATTCGGTGATTGCCGTGAAGCCCGCTTGACTCTCTGAAGCTCGGATATTGTCTTTTTATTAAATATTAAATTTTTACACAAGATTTGTGAGCAAAAGTTAGAAAAGCATTACGAAATTGCTGCTAACAATAAAGTTTGGATGAGGTGCTCACTGCTAGACCGCTGTACCGGGAGAGTCTATCTACATAGTACATACTTTACATGAGTAGTGCAATATAGCGACATACTTTGAGGTTTCGCTTTAGAAAATTATCTTTTGTGGTTTTCAGCAAAAATGGTCCAGGGGTAGTTCCCCACACTTCCCACTCGAAAGATGCAAGTTCGAATCGCAGCAGTAGACGGTCGATTTTTATTGTTTGTGTAACTTGTACAGCTGTATTGGCTTGCTTTTTTTCTTTCTAAATCTAGCTTCAGTTGCTATGCATTGCTACGAAAAGTTACGTGAAATATGAAGTTTTTACCAAATCCCATGCAGTGGCACTGCAAATGAGTACACTTGCTGTCAAACATTTTTCATGGAATTTTTGGTAGAAATATGTAGCAACTGAAGCTCAAAAAAGGAAACCAACACAGCAGTACAAGTGACACTAAGAATACAAATCTACTACCTACAGCTCTTGGGTATTTTGAGTGGGAAGCGGGAATTCTGCCCCTCTACTACCTCAGCAAAGCCGCACGCATCTCTTAAAGCAATGACAAATCACAGACTACCAACCGAAGTTCCGCATGCAGATTGACTCTGTTTGGCCTGCACTTTCTGTGCATTGGTGCTATAGTCGTTCCAGGCACTCCCCTATCCTAGTAAACTAGTTTAAGGTTAGAGTGTATGCACCTGGATCCCTGGGCTGATTGACGACGCAAACTATAGATGGCCAACGTGGCCTCCACATCTCGCTGAAAGTAGCACAACTGAGAAAGTTTAGAGGCTGGTCGGGCATTTTGGTGCAGTGTGGCACAATTACGGCGAATTTCATGGTTTTGATGCAGCTCAGCGCAAAAAAGGGCAATTGAATCAAATTGGTGCAGGTGTTGCACTCCTGAACACCGCGAAACACTTGCGTCTGCACCTTACCATTCACTGACCTAGCAATGCACGCTGTGCAAAAAGACGAGGGCAAAAAAAAAGCAGAAGCAGTGTGCACTGCGTTTCAACTTTAGCTGGAGGACATTTATGGGTAAGTTCAACAAAGTTAGGGCAAGTGTAATTTCCACCTGGTAAGAGTGCACAGTTTCAAGTAGTACTCACAAAACAATGCAACTTACCAGCTCTTCATGGCCAAATGCCACCGATGGTGATATACAGCTGAAATTCCCATCAATCAATGACGGCTGCCTGGCATTCGTTATCAGAGACTCTTCTGGATGAGCCCACTGAAAGAGCAAAAAAGAAAAGAGGAAGAAAAAACTGTCCATTTTCAGATATAAATCTCTAACCTTCCATGTGAAGGCTTGTGCAAATATTCCTAATTCCAATTTGCCTCAATTGGAAATTGCGAAGTATTAGAAATGAATGACTACGTCTATATAATATTGGTCCACATGTAACCTCCTGTAAAAGTGGTTTTACTGCAAGATAAAGGTTCTAAGCCTTGAAAGCACCAACCCAAGTGTATGTATTAACCAGGGCTGGGCAGTATTGCGATACAAGAGTATCGCGACAGTATTTCAGAGATACTTTTCACACGCAAAGCAAGAGCTCTACTCACTGAGCTACACCCCCATCAGAGATACTTTTGAGTAGCTGTATTAAGATACTTTTCAAAAATGTATTTGTACCTCAGTAGTGAAATACTTTACAATGTATTGCCCCTATCTCGATACTATCCAGGACACAGGTATCTGGTTACTTTTTTTTCTGAAATGAGGCAAGACATGTTTAGAATGGGAACCATTTTTTTTTCTGCTCTGATCTTGGCAGTTCGCGGCGAGATATGCACTCACCATTTCTACATTTCTGCTGAGGGTGAAACTAACTCGTACCTTCCTGAAGGTGAGCTAGTCGCTTTGCTACGCGCATTCCATTGTGCACCTTCAGGCAGAACTCGAATGTGTTTGAATGATTACCTGCTTGAGCTTCCCAACACTGCTATACTGCCATTTTGAACTCCAGCAGCGATGTTTTCATTATGAGCAGCATTGTATACTGCACAATGGGCGGCAACCAACAGTGTCGTTCTTAAAATGTGTTTCCTCATGCCAATTGAATGAGCAGTGCATAATTCTTTCTCTCGTTTTTTTTCCTTCTCTATTTTTTGCAGCGCCTATTTGAAAAAGCGGAGCTTATCGTGGAACCCACAAACCACCGAAAGAATTTGGTGTGTGGTGCCGTGTGCCATCAACGATACTTCTTTCTTCAAAGCATTTCCGGAAGACGCCGGCGTAGTGACACGGCGATTGGAAGGAGGTCTTCTTGCAATTTCTTTTGCACTCCTTGTTTTGTTCGTTCTTCTATCTGCTTTTTCTGTGTTTCAAGAAAACACTAAATCTTCACCTGAAAGCAAGCGCCCGTCTTCATTGTTTTTGTGTTCCATTCTTTCTTTGCGCTAGGCCACTTTAGCAAAACTGGAAACCAACTAGCCTGAACCGCTAGTCTGCTTAGAGAAAATCGTTAAAGCAAGCGCCACCATTACAGTGGCAGCAAGGAATTCGGGAGCCTTAATTCCTTTTTTTAGTCAGAGACACATGCTGACCGCTGTGTTCGTGCAGGATTAGCCGTAGCATGTTACAAGTAACGGCATTAATGGTAGTACATTGCTTTTTTAGGTAACTCAGTAATGTACTCGTTACAATTTCAAAACTCTAACGGGCAAAATACTTACGTTAAGGTGGCGGTCCCACTCTGACGACACTGGCTCTGCATTTTAGGCACTGTTTGCTGACGCACCACGCTCACTGTGGTCAGAGTATCGATGTGAATTGTATCCACTATAACACAAGTTTGTGCTCCTCTGCAGCAATAGAGTGACTTCTCGTTCGTGAGTCTTGTGTTGAGGCCGAATCGACGATGTCTAGATGACGGCCTATCTGAGAAGCTACTGCTGCTGAAGTGCAATTGACGCGCCAAATGTTTAAACTAAACAGACTTGTGTTAAATAGCTTTTCTCGATTCGTTTGTTAATGGTTCCAGCCCTTCGCTTGAACTATGCTACTTCTAGCATAGCTAATAGTGTTGCCACCAAGTATCCAGATTTCGGTGTACAATGCATTTGACTTGCTTTCATACAGCATACGTAGTTCTTTATTGCAACTGATATCTGTAAATATGTCATTATTAACAATTATGTGCAGTGTAGGCCTCTTTGTAATGCGTTCATGGAACTCGGACTACGGTGATAAAATAATGAGTAAAAATAATTGCAAGTTTCAATGCACTACGCACTTAAAATACTCTGCTGCACATGACTAATCTCTGTACGAACTATGACTATCCCCGACATAGAGAAAAGTATTTCAGTTTTTGCAAAACTATCTCTGAAATATCCCATTACGTCAATTACAAATGTATCTCAGTATCTGTATTTTAGGCTTCCACACAGTGTATTTCAATATCTGTATTCCGGAACACTTTTTGGGTATCTCTGCCCAGCCTTAGTATCAACTGCATGTAACTCCCTGAAAAGATAAGGCTAAGCCGTGAAACACCTATCCAGAAAAAATCCACACTGCCGCAAAGCCCCACTTTAACGATAAATGAACATATTGCTTTGTAGTCAATTCACCATTTTTGAAGCGTAAGAGCTTCCTATACCAACTGATGCACTCAAAGTACATGAAGTTTTAATAAAACATAACGTATATATCAGGGCATCACTTGCATTCTACCGCAAGTCTAATACTACGACTACAGTGGACATTGCAATACTAGTGTATTGTGGACATTGCTAGATGCCTACCAATGAACAGGCTGCAAAGAAAGTGCTCGGGTTCGCCATCATGCTAGGATGTGTATAAAAGCTTTAAAGACGCACTGGTACTGCGTGTTTGGCAGGCTGTCGGGCTCCTCTGAGCAACTACTTTTGATAAGCACTTGACGCATGCAGACTACTTCAAAAGAAATCATCAAAGGAATAACACTGTGGCACACAAAAAACACAACTCACGAGTTGCAGTTGTCCCACTCCTTTGTCGCTGTCTCCGTGCACTCCAAGATAGTACTTCAGGCGGCCCTTTTGTTGCGACGACAACTTCAGAATCGGGCTCAGCCTGGCTGTGCCGACAATCCCGCGAAGGCAGTGGCCAGTGTCGACGGCGGAGGACGCAGGGCTAGTCTCCACGCGGAGATGAGGCAATGTGGCCGCCAGCCGACACTTCTGACACTGAAAAGAGTAGGTAAAAAGGGGAAACAACAGTGCAGCTGTTATTGCCAGAGGCACTGTGAAAATGTATTTAGAAAAACTGGCAGACAAAAAAAACAAAAAATCTCACGCTGCACATTGCAAGCGTCTGCATAGCCATTATGTTGAATTGTACTTTTACGACATTTTGGCCATTTGAGCCCAATCCAGCTGGCAAGCATTAAAATATGAAAGTGGGCCCATACAGTTGAAACTTGAAGTGAAGTCTCAAATAAACTGTATTTACCATGTTTATGCGACTGCATGTTGTTGACTTACGAGATTTAAACTTTACATATGAAGATGCAGAGTCAATTTTTGGAACTCGAAACATCGAACGCTAGCAACAACAAGACTAATCACAAACCTAAAAGCGTTTTTCACTAGGAGACCTGGAATAGCCACAGAAATCCTGGAGCGAGCCCTTGGATTGCACCAAGCCAAATCTGCCAGTGAAACACGTGAGTGCACCGCGGAGGTCGTTTCGCAAGTTGTTTACGTACAGGTCACTAAACCAGTTCCGGTAATGATTCCCTTTTCAGCTTTCTATGTTTCCATGGCAAACTTGTCGCCTCTGCAGAGCATGCATTTCGACCACACTGTTCACGGAAAGCAGGGGTATCGTTTTCTTGTGCTGCACTGAAAAATGTAAAAAAGCACACGGAGATTTCTGTGGCTGTGCGCCTGCTGCTGCTGGGCGTGCTTATCGCTAGACCGCAGTTCCTTCACAGCAGTGAACGCAGCCATTTTGCAATGCTCAGCCCATGCACAATGGCGGAAGTGACGTACGCTGCTCCTCGAACTTCCGCCCAAATCTAACTTGACGGGGGAGCAGCGAGAGCAAGACCGCCTCCGGGCGAGTTGCTCTGAAACTGCCATTAAAAAGAGCGAACCCACTCCAAATCTACCAGCGAAATCCAGATTAGTCGCAACGGAGCAAGAAAACCTGCTCTGGATCTACCAGTGAAACGCGCCATTGGATACTGCAGTGTGCTTTCAACATAAAATTTGCTTTCTGCTTACTCATTGGATTCTGTTCTGCAGCTCTTTTAAAACGTCTCAGTAAGTTTTATTACATGCCACTGAGTTCATACAGACACCATGAGGTTGATAAATGACGATCACAGATGTCACAATTAATGCAACCGTTGATTGAAGAGCCACTGTACTAATAGGCAGTGGCCATTTGTTTGAGGGGTACTGGTAATAATTGTCGGAAGCGCCACTGGCTCTCGCATGTTTTCATTCAGCTGTTGTGTGCTACCGATGTTCCCAACAGTCGAGCTTGACCATCATGAAAAACTGCACTCGTTCACAACAGTGCTCAAGAAGGCTGCCATTCTCTGCGCCGAAGAAGCAAGTACTGCACAGCACGACGCAAGTTTGGAGTTTTGTAATGGCTGGTGCAGCACTGTTCAGTAATGGCTGGAGCGGTAAATCATCGCAAGTCATGCCAAAGGATGAGGCTTTCATGTCCAGGAGTCTGGATGCTTTTCGCAGCCGAGACCTTCCACCATACATGACCAAACTATGAGATCTGTCAACTGGAAACTTACAAACGGGTGCTCAATTAGGCACGCATTGCTGACTTCAGACGGCCGAGTGAAGTCCAGGCGCTGACGGTTCATCGGTTCATCGCGACACACTAAAAAAAAAAAATAGGGTAACCATCAAAGGATGCCATGAGTACGCCTTCTCTGCCCCTCGTAACGGCAGGTGACCAAAAGCAGTCTCTGATCAAACTCCGGGCAAAGTCTCGAAGCACTGTGAAAGGAAGCCCGATACAAAGCCGAGCTATGCGATAATAAATGAAACCAGCAAGGAAAAAAAAAACACCAGGCCTGTGCGAAATGCGCAGCACAGTCACACCGAAAGCTAGAAGAGTGGCCATTAAGAGCTTTTTATAAACAATCCTTGAGTAGCTGCTGCAAACCCACTTACAGAATACCCACCACCCTATAATTTTGTGTAGTAGGCCGGCATTCTTGTTCACTTTCTCTTGCAGCTCATACCCACTGTGGAAAAGCGCCCCGCCGCGGTGGTCTAGTGGCTAAGGTACTCGGCTGCTGACCCGCAGTCGCGGGTTCAAATCCCGGCTGCAGCGGCTGCATTTCCGATGAAGGCGGAAATGTTGTAGGCCCGTGTGCTCAGATTTGGGTGCCGTTAAAGAACCCCAGGTGGTCGAAATTTCCGGAGCCCTCCACTACGGCGTCTCTCATAATCATATGATGGTTTTGGGACGTTAAACCCTTCAAATCAATCAATCATCACTGTGAAAAAGCGGTCAGGAATTTGTTTGTTTGTAGCCTAGAATCCATGGCTCATACCTACTCTGGGGGATCATTTAAGAGAACATATAGTCTCATATGGGCTATAACTGCACTATTGCTTACAACAAAAACAGTTGTAAAATGAAGACAGTATATTCAAAAAAAAAACAAAGATTCCTATGCTTCATCGGAGAAGATTGGTACCCACTACGCACTTGCAAAAAATTTTGTGCAATTTTCTGATGCTGTGACTGACGATGATAAAGTATTATGCCTGAAGCTTGAGTAATGGGTTGGAGCAACCGACATCTCACTTGTTACGCAATTCACATTCTGAGACGCCTGGTTCTGAAGCACTTTATTATTCATATTAACGCCATTCCTTGCCCGACATCAAGTCTGCCTAAAGCTAGTTTGCAACAAAGTTCCAAGCAGCAGCGTGGCTCTGTGGTAGACTACTGCACTGGCACGCAGGGTACCCTGGTACGAATTCTACTATGCCCTTGTCTTTTAATTTACAGAGTGTTTTTCCTTCTTCAGCACAATAGTGGTTATGGACACAAGCGGTGGCGGCGCGCGCTACCCTTGTTGTGATCTTGTAACACCTTTCGTTGCAAAATCTTGCCCTTTCCTTCGCTTTGCCTGTGCTACGTACAGACAAATCACGGAAAATACACTCAACCTCATTATAACAAAGAGGCATCTTACATGAAAACAGGTTAGTTATAACCAAAAATTTGTTATAAAGGTACATTCTTAGCACTATTTCTATTGCAAGAATATCCTTCATTTACTTCGCTATAACCGATATTTCATTGTATCCAGGTTTGAGTGTATTTGCAAATCCAGAAGCGAGAGGATAAAAGCATGCGGTGGCGGAGGGAGTAGGTGAGCAGGATAGCGACACCAATGAAGAAGTTATGTTGATCAAGCGATTCTGGTAGGGTGGTCAATCAATCTGAAAGAATAGAATGATGACTCTGAGAAAACAGTGAAAAATTGAGAAGCGTCGCCAACAGGCCGATAGCGGAAGGGAACAACGACTATCAGCACTGGAGTTTGTGAGAATGTTTCGTGAAAGGGAAACATTCGAGATACGTCTCAAGAATTGTGGGCTGGATACATTATGCAAATGGTCAAAACAGTGTTCTTCAATGCAGGAGATTGCATATGTAGTGCGATCAGTTTGTTTCCGTTGTTTTAAACACCATCCGAGTTACACTGCGAGTTATGAGTAACTGTTTTTGATAACCGAGTGTGTAGGTTCGTGTGATGCTTGCAGCCTTAACCCAGATTATACTTTGCGTTAGGAACTCCCTGCTCTGAATGTCTTTGGACAACAACCATCATTCGTTGCTGCCCAAAAAGAGCCTACCCTAAATTGTCTGCGCTTTTGTAGTGCATGTAGAAGGGGCCGGTTTTTGTTGGCCCTTGGTACCTGTCGGGCGATTGCCTCCTTATACACAGAATCAGTGACAGTAACATACAAAATATCACAAGAACTTGTGAGCAGATCACAAGAGCTTGGGAGCAGGAACACCAAAGATGTTTCAATGTCACTGGGGCCAGCAATAAAGTATACCTGTGGTTTTACGTCCCAAAACCACGATATGGTTACGAGACATGTCGCTGTAAAGGGCTCCAAAAATTTTGACCATATGATGTTTCTTAACACGCACCGACATCACACAGCACACTGGCTTCTACCGTTTTCCCACTAGGGCCTCCGAACTAACGTTTCATGAGTAAGAGCTGTCTTGACGGCTAGTGAGGAAAGTAGCAAGTTCTGCAACTAATACATTTATTCTTTCAGGGTTTACGTCGTAAGTGTATGGCATTGCATCGGCTTTTGCTTGCGCATCCGAGCGTGCCTCTAGCAGTGCAGCTGGTTTGGTTTCATCGTTCGGGTGCTTTTCGCTTCTTGCGCCCACAAAACTGACGGCTGTGTGGTGTATAATCTCTTAAAGAGTGACCGCTTGTTACTTTCTCCTTTATTGCTCCCCGGGGCGCAATTACATCTATTTTTATGAGGTGCTACTGCACAAACAATGCCTCCCTGGTTGGGTTTCCTGTTTTGGCGACTCTAAAACGCTAACTCTCTCTTGTTGCCATTAAGACTAATAATTATTTTACTTTTTTCACTAGTTCTCCTTTTTTTTTTATAGGTGCATGACCATAAGGATTTTTTTCCGCACTTTTACTCACTTCACTTGCGCTATTAAAGTGTGCGCCAGTTGCTTTGCTGCTTGAGAGTCCAGCAAAAAAGTACTCCTGTGTGCCTATTTTTGTATGTTTGCAAGCTATGTTTATCAAAAGTAACTTACCGTATTTACTCGATTCTACCGCGCCCTCGATTGTAACGCGCACCGGATTTTCACGACGAAAAAAAAAAGTAACATCAACTGCACCGCGCACCCATTTTTCTCGCTGGCCCGAACGATCACACCACTCGAAAAAACAACTCCTTTCGGGAGCGTCTTCCATTTAAATATGAGGTACGGGGCAAGCTTGTGCCCATCTGACGTGTAAATGAGCATTGCCGTCACTGTAGTTTTACCGTGGACCAATGTCAGCACGCGAACTTCCTTCGCCTCCTTCTTCTCGACGGTTGTGGTGCCAGGCATGTTGAAGTAAAGAGGCGTCTAATCGACATTCCCGATTTGCCCAAGCAGGTAGCCGTTGTTGTGCTGCAAGTTTAGGACGAACCTCTGAAAACTGTGAAGCTTTTCATCGTACTCCTCCGCAAAACTTTTCGCATATGCCCGTTCACCTTCGGAGGGAAAAGCCTTTCCTCTTCATAAAGTTAGTTAGCCAGCACCCGCTCGCTTTAAACTGGCTCGGCATTAGACCTTTTTCTAAGGCTAATTGCATAGCCCGCACTTGGAGCAGTTCTGTCGTCACAGGCCGCTGTGCCGCTTGCTGCTCAAGCACATACTCGCCGAGCAGTTCTTCAATTTGCGGAAACCGACCCTGCAGTGGTCCACTGGAGCCTTTGCGTGAAGCTTTGCTGTCGACAATCTTCTGCTTTTGTTTCTGCCAGTCCCGCACGCACGTTTCTGTAACTCCGAACGACCGCGATGCGGCCCGATTTCCGTCCATTTCTGCACACGTGATGACTTTTCTTTTAAAAGCGGCATCGTGGTGCACTCGAGTTTTTGGAGTCGGCCCTTCCATGCCGTCGATGCTAATGCAATACAAGATGACGAACTCCTCAGCACACGTACGAAGTGCTGCACATGGGAAACACATAGGCAGAAATGGCTGACGCGCCATGCCGACACACGAAGGGGGCGGCCATTTTGGAAATGTCGATGGCAATAGAATGACCGTACTCATTTTTTTTTCGTACTCGATTCTAACGCGCATGCGATTTATGAACTCCCTTAATTGAAAAAAAAAAAGGTGCGCGTTAGATTCGAGTAATTATGGTAGTTCTAAAAAAATCATACGAGTTTCTTTTTTAAGATTTTACTTGATGCTTTATGGTCCCTCAAAACAATGAGAATTTTTTAGAAGATAGAATAGCCCAAAAATTTAGTTCAGGAATAAAAAAAACATTTTTCGAGGTTATGTCACAAAAAATTTGACCCTCGCAGAGTTAAACTTTTATTGAAAAATGCGCACATGCTTTCCTTTTCAGTTGTGCGTATGCTTGCTATAGTGCAGCTGAAAAAAAAAAAAAACACTGTTCTATGTATTCTCCTGGCAGCAAGGCCTGCAAACTCCTCCACTACTCGAAAACACAGTCTTTCATATGGGCAACATGTTCCAGGAACCTTATCAAACAGACATAAAGGTATCAGAATATTCCGTTTAACAAGAGTTTGATTTACCGAGCGACAAACAAGCGTGTAGAATTCAAGTACGAGACCAATGATACCACAGGCAGTTTCATTTAATAAGCAGCAGTTCCATTAAACAGATTTCCCGTTTACTGAAAGCCTTCTGTAGTTTGTTATACAGACAATTCCGTTATAGTAGAGGGTAAACTGTTCCACGGTGCCCATCCCAGTCTATAATTACAAGTATGCTCACCTGTGCTTGCCGGAGAATCGGCTGTTGAGACTGGTGACACTATGTGTGCACCGTAACACCTGGCCATCTCCTCGTGGATGATGCGCCTGTAGGCTGCCAAGTCCGGGCTCGGGAAAAGCGGCACCGTCGGTGCTCGAGCACTGGGGATTTCTGTGGCGCCCCCCGTGTCCTCACCATAGTCAGACATGTCTAATTCATCATCTTTGTCGCCCGATTCATCACCTTTGTCACCTTCAGGCTCCTGTTCTAATCTCCTGCAACGAGAAAAACGAAAGTGTGGACTGCAAACTGAAACTTGAAGAAGACTCTTGCACACCAATGTACACCACACCACAAATAAGGATGGATTTCTGCCACGATTCAGTTATTACTTGTGGTTTTACGCCAACGAACCACGGTACTGTTATGTAAAACGAGATGAACCATAACTATTTGCTAGTGTATTTACACAGATCGATCCAGAAGGAGAACAGCAAGCACAGCAGACAGGCCACTTCGTTTAAGTAGTCTTCTGAACACAGAATATGTCCCACCCAGAGTGTCAGAATGGTTTAGGTGGAGCGACGGCGAATTGTAACGAGAAATCGAAGACCTCCTTCCCTTTCCCAAATGACTGTTTGCGTAACATTGGTCGTTTCAAAGCATCGATGAATGCCTGTTACAAGCCCCGTTGTTAAGTGCCCATAGGCCATATTTACTTTGCGAATCAGCGGAGGGCCCCCTACATGTCCGTAGGGCAACACGCGAATCTACACAGCTGTTCACTTTGTTGATGGTTCTGCTGCTGATTATGGTTAAATATGTCCGAGGACCTTATAATGGATGGCCTCTTAGAGCATCCACTTTTTGCTAAATTCATATATTTTGATGCCTGGCGAGACCGTATGCTTCTGCCACGCAATATATGAAGCGTAAGCTCTTTCCACCACATGACACTGATATAGTCCTTTTTTTTTTGCCCGAGGCTATTCTGACAAATACTGCAACTCTGTGGTAGAACACTTGCTTGCCATGCAGACAGCATCGCTCGCCACTGGGACCCTGATATATTTATTTTATTTGCATCTTATTCTTTCGGTCACGAATAAAGCAATTTTTTGCTCGCAACAAATGAGTCCGATGCCCCGATTTTTGCAAAACGAGCTCTCCGAAGTCATCACATTAAAACTGGCTACTACTTCATGGCACATGTCCTACAATTAAACAGCAGGTGCTTCCCACTCACCTCCTAGTGAGCTGGAATGCTCTATTTACCACTTATTACATAACCCGGTCTGCCACACATAGGTCGTTCGGCCACACACCACTCCCATTCTGCAGGGAAGAGTGGAGTGTTTTATGCAAAGAAAGAGCTTGATCATTTTTAGGCACGAAGCTCCTTAGCCCGGCGCTTCAACGTCACCACCAAGCGAAGCTCTTAAGACCAGGCAAGCGTGCCAAGCAAAACAGCTGCTGCGCGGGCGCGGCGGCAGATGGCGCGTGCACTCACTTATTCAATGGTTCCCGCCACCATGCGCAGCAGACACTCTCTTTACGTGAACTTCAGTGCTCTAATGCCAATGTACACGAAAAAAGCGCAAGTCTGCAGGGCACTTCCCCAAAATCGCACAAAAAAAGCCTTTGTCATCGGGCTCATCGTCTGTATAACGAAGACCTGTGCAAACGTGCGCGGATTGTGACACGCTTGTTTCAGACAAAAGAGATGCAGGCCATTATCCAAGAATGCAGGCACACCAAGCACGTCAACATACTGTAAAATAACAAAATGGGCCACAGCACCTCAACATCGGTGCTGACTGCAGTTACGAACGAGACTTTATCGAGTGCACTTCTGGACACAGTGGCCGCGTACACGATAGACTTCGATTCAAGAACAATCTGTCTCGCATCGATGATTCCTTGCAATGAGACAAAACATGAACTGAACACCCAGTCCGAGTGTTCAAAAAAGCGTTTCCCAGTGCCGACGACCACGCTGAGTTTGAATTGCGCGGGACGTGCAAGAGATCACATGCTCGGCAACGTGCCGGCTTTTGGAGTAACAAACGGATTCTGCTACTCGCCAAAACCGCAATAATTGCCGAGGCTGAATCTCATCGAGGAAAGGCTACTCTCGCACTGAATCTCTCTCGTGCACATGCGATCCCTTTCATGTACACCGTCGAATGTCCCCGCCGCATCACCGCTCGCCACCTTACCATTTTCTAGAAAGCCAGCAGAGAGCGGCAGGCACATAGTCGTTTGAGTCCTATTTCTAAGAAGCTATTTGTACACTGAACACCTGCTGGTTTTAAAAGTACACAGGGGGCCTTCACGGAGCATTCTGTTAGCACGAGGTCATGACTTATTGAGCACGTGCACTGTTACAGGAGGCAAGTTGGTGTAATTTTAATAAATCAGTCTGTTACAGATGAGTTCTGCGGAAACCCGCAAGTTGGCGGAGGGATTAAAAAAGGGGAAAATCACCCATTTGCAGCATGAAGCTATAAGAAAATCCGTAAGGATTTGTCAGAAAGAAAAGCTTCTTAGTTCCTAAAAAATTCGTCCTGGTGCGAGATTCGCACTCGGGACCAACGCCTTTACGGGGCGGTCGCTCTTCCAGGAAGCTAGCAATTGGCACCGTGAGAGCGAGTTCATCGACAACTCGAAGCATATGGACACAAGGATTTCCTTGTGGCTTCCTGCTACAAACAGGTACACTCTTGCTTTCCAAATCGATCTGTGTTCATCCTGTCCACTTATGCTCCGACGTCTTCTCCCAGCCACAATAAAGCAGTTTATCTTTACAGAATAATGTCTTAACTACACCTCTTCTCTCAAATGTTGAACAAAGTGTGTATGTGTGTGTGTGTGTGTGTACGCGTGCTAATCATTTGGATTTTAGAATGTTTGCAACTGCACTCTCAAATCCCCTCAAGCTCTCGAAATACTTCATAGCATGCAAAGGCATTGCACACTCATTTCGCAACTAGTAGTTTTCTCGGCTGTCACAGAAAAAAACTTCCCTTAGCAACTAAAACTTACTAACGCACGCAATATTCATACAACACACACACACATTATATATATAATTTTTTTCACCCACTTTTCTTTATATTTACATTAAAATTCGGTCTAATATTTTCCCCTATACTTTCCTTGGCAATATAGTCTGTTATATCTCACAATTATTGTGTAAAACACTGAAAAACGAGCCCTTAAGTATACACTTCTTTCCTATATATATAATCATTGGATGCCAAAGCAAAAGATTTTAGACATACTCCGTAAGGTGTTCCGGCAACGATTCCGGTAGAACAAGAGGAGACACATTCCTTGTTGCACGCTTCCGCCTCATGTTCACATTGACGGGAAGTGTGAACACCTCAGGGCTGCCACTCAGTTCAGGTGTGCCAGCTGCAAGTGAATATAGTATAATAGTATAACCTAGTTAAGTAACTGCTATATTTTTCTTGCATATAAACAACACCTCTAATGAAAACCCGCAAATAAAAAAACAGTTTCACCGCAAGTGTGAAGCAATGAATGTGGTCGCAACAAATCATGACGTTATAAGAATTAAGACTTGGCAGTGAACTTATTTTGAATCGATTGTTTTATTTCCACAAAGCAATCGTTTAATGCAATACGGCTGCACCAGGGCACAAAGAAGTTTTTGTGGTGCGTCATCTCAACATGTAGTACATAAATGGCAGGAGTGCAGCATGTAAAAGGGTATACTAGCCACTTGCTACGCCCGCCGAAAAGGTGTGTGCACAACAGCGCTTTCAACTGCGCTCTTACAATCAAAGTTGCTAACTGCTGCTGAAGCAAAGCAACACTGCCTGCTTGGAATGAAACTACTGAAGCAGTCTAGTCATAATGCCCTCGGGTATATAGCTTTCGCCCCAAGACACCGAGACTGGGTAACAGCTGCACCACTGGAAAAGCTCCAGCCCCACCATGCCGCCTGCTAGCACCACCTATAGTGCTCATTGTACCCGCATTTTTTGCGATTCGAAATAATGTGCATTAAATTTATTCAAAATTCGTAGGCCATCGCAAAAGTTTGAGGGTGTGGAGGAAAAACCCGACGTGAAAACAGCTCAATTAGGGGGGAGGGGGGTACTGACTTAAAGTCAGTACCCCCCATAAAGTATGGTGTTGAACATGATGTGGTTGAAGAAAATGCTGTGTAGGTCATCTGAGTTCCCTTCACAGTGGCTCTTTCCTTTGTTAATACTCTTGTACCCAAATTAAAAACCTCGTTCGAAAGGTTCACAGCCAATCACAGTTTTTTACACTTTTGCAATAGTGCTGAACATTACCGAGATTATCCGCAGTCATGGCAGAAAACTTAACAACAGACCTGCACATGATGCATGCCTATACATTCATTTCCATGAGAGATAACTATAGCGACATGAATAAAAGCACTAAGATGTCCTTAATTTTTAATGACTTTGCCGGTGAAACGCCATATTATAAAAAATTATACACTCCTCGCGAGGTTCCCATTTTGGACCAATTGCTCGTATGGTTGTGCCAGAGTAAAACCACACAAGTCAAACCAGGAGTCAGTCAACTTCATGTTTCCAGTCCAAAACTATTTTTTGGATGAGTTACACAGGAGACACCAAAGTGGTACTGTTTTGAAGGATGTCTTGATCGCACAGGACAGTTTTATCGCTCTCAAGTACTGTCATTATCGAGGCTAACACTTGCACCTCGCCCTTATTTCTTATGGCTTTTTTTTAATATCAAGAACATTGTGTCCCACAAATAAATTTAATCGCCCCGCCATGCTCACGCATTTATTTGAAACAGCCAGAAACAACAGCACATGAAAAACTGACACTACGAGGTCCTTACGGAGTACTCACTGTAATGTGCTGGCGTGTCGGGGATCGGGAAGGCCACCGTTTTCTTGACGTCGATCGTAGCGCTTACCGGAGAATCGAGCTCTGAAGAGCTGTCATCTGAATGGAGAGATGAAAACCACACATAAATCTCGTTTCATACCCAGTTATGGATAGTCTTTCATAAAGACTGCCTTAAAGGCTTAGCAATATGGCTCTGTTACCAATTGAAAGTCGATAGAGGCCAACTACACTCAAAACTCGAACAATGGCATTATGAAGTATCAGTTATGATGAAATAAATTAAGAGTAAACTTTGTATATAAAGAGTGTAAGGAATGCACCTTTATAACGAATTTTTATATATCACAAACTTATTTTTTGTGCAGCATGACACTTTGTTGTAGTAAGGTTTGAGTACATAATTAACGGGCTCTGCAAGAGATAGATTACCTCTGAAATTTAACAACCTAGCATTATTAGAAAAAAAAACAGCTGTTATATTGATTGGTCAGGTATATCAGCTTAGGAGAACTGTCATTTGAAAAATAATAAATTATCCAACTTTTTTTATAACTACGTCCATTTCAAGCAATTTGTAGTACAGGCTAAGGAAAGTCACACGCCTCTTATGACATTTTTGTAAAGGTGTAATTTAAAGAGTGAAGATTTTTGTTCCTTGTTACTGGATGTCAGACATCTAAGCTTTTTAATGTGTTTGAAAATACTTTGTGATCAGAAAAGTACCCTACCTTGATCCTGTAAAAATTGTCTAGAACTGAACCTTGTATGTATGCAGCTATTGGCAAAACAATTAGGAAATCATAGTTTTCCTAACATACTTTGAACTGAGAAGAAAGAGTTTGATTTTTTATTTTTTTGATAATCGACAAAGAATGTTGTAAAATTATCGAAGTGACCTGCTGCGTAGTTAGGGCTGCTGCTCTGTGACAATCACATCAAATCATCTTCAATTTTTCGAAGCTTTCGAGGTGTGAATGTTGCTCACTAGAAGTGTTGGTCACAAAAGAGATTCCCCGCTAATTGCAATGAACTCTATGGAGTTCATCGCAATTATATCAGCCAAGTAGCGCACAAAAACACCATGAGCTACTCAGAATTGGCATTAAAGCAGCGGTGGGTAATCCCTTGATACGTTCCCAACCACTCGAGGTTCGTTACCAATGAGCAAGTGACTCTTCCATTAGCGAGGCTAAATTTCTGTCCTTTTAATTTGAATGACCTCTGGTTCAACAGCAACAGAAAGTGTCCCATAAATTAAAATCACTGGAAACAAGTTTTCCAACACAGACACATTCACTTAAAGGAGCACTGACATCAATTTTCAAGATTCAAATGTGCCCATCATTCGATCACTTGGTATGCACAGGTCTTCTTGGCCAATTTTGAATGGCGTCCGTCACGTAGAAGTTATTTTGCTTCGACGTCAAACAGCGTAGAAAAGCTAAGGAGAAAAAACGAAAAATAGACTGCCCTGTGACATAGACACTACTGCTACGTGTTCGGTGCGATTCGTTCCACAAATACCACCCTGAGTGACCATACGCTAGTAATGATGACGTCGACGATCTCCGAGTGTGTTTGGAGCAGACTCCCAGCCATATTCTCCCTAGTCACTATCTTTGCTGTGTTGAAGCATGCGTGCGTTTCATCGTGTCACATCGACTGATTTGCGTTGTGCTCCACTGCGTGTGAGTACGATCATTCAGAGCGACAATACGTGCCAGAATGTCAGGGAACCACTGCGTAGTCAGAACCTGAGTCGAGGCGCGGAAAAAGCGGAAAGTGCGTGGCGTTCCATGCCTTTCCAAGACACGAACCCCAACGCAGCCAGTGGGTTGACTTCATATGCGCCGTTAAACAGAGGGGCTGGACACCTGTGAAGAACAGCCGCGTTTGCTCCCTTCACTTTGTGGCTAGTTGCTACAGGGTAAATCCTGTGTTGGTGAACCAGATGGTTTCACTGGCAGTATGAGGCCTTTTCTCCAACCGAGGGTATTTTTACCGTGTGCTCTGCTGTAGCTGAAAGCAGCCATTCACTCTCCAAACATCCACGATATGAGGTGTGTAGTTGGTGATCCTGAGCTCCGACAGAATGGCCGAGACTGATAAATACATAGCATTTAACGCGGAGCTTGTCAAGCAAGAATCGTCGCAAATCACGGCGATACCCAATTTCAGGTCGCTGTCATCATCACTTGCGATGTTGACCGCGAGGATGACGATGTTGGCGACAGAGGCATGTCTACGCATTCAGTGACACTGCTGGACCGACTGTACGTGCGCTCCTAGCAGACGAAACGCCAGTGTGACGTCCCCATTTTTTGTGAAAGCGGCATCAGCTGTGCAGCGGCCTCGACGTGGCTGCGAGGTAGCGCTGCCAGCACTACGATTTGGCGGGTTTTCCACCGATTTTGAACCACGTTCGATAGTGAATATATTATTATTACAGATACTCATTCATCACTCAGATGCGTTATAGGTCGCGAATCGCTACTAGGGGGTCGATAGCTACTCGTTGACGCAAAAATCTTGACATGAGTAAATTTGATGTGGGTGCTTAAACTAAAAACAAACAATGACTTCATTTAAATTGACAAACTGCACTCTAAGAACTGTGTTGCCTTAAGCTTGACTGTCATAAGTTCATTATTATTAATAGCAGTGAAAATTAAGCTTGTAGTGCCATTTTTAAAATTTCACACACATTGTGGCGTCTTCACCCGCATTTTATTTTCGCAGATTTTCTCGCATAACAGGCCTCATGTCGCGGCAAGAGTAGTGTTTTCAGGACAGCAAAACTGTGCTTTACTAATACGTGAAAAAACAGTTTGTTCTTTCATGTTCTTTTAACAATCGGCATCTTGCCCACTTTGCAGCCATGACTTTGTAAGAGACCTCCACGCCAACATCTCGAGGAAAAATTATTTTTTTATTGTCTTCTGCCGCACAAACAACCAAGCATGCTCAGCATCGTTAATGCACCACCAATCCAAAACAACTCAAATCTAAAAGCGATTTTTTTTTCAGAAAGTCTCTAAATTTTATCCCCCATCCTCCCTTAAAGCACACTCAAGTTACAGAAGGCTATTGCTACCTTGATTTTTTCGTTAATTTGACACTGTCTAAAACTCGATATGTAGCACTCGAACTTGAATTTTTCGGCACCCCAAGATTGGCCCTCACCAGACCACTTAGAGCTTCAATGGTCATCAGAAATATGCTTAAAGCTTTGCAAACACATTTTTCTGAGTAATTTTTGGCAGTTTTTGTGCTTCTTAGGCATTGACATCGAAGTATGAAGCATGTACTTACCATATCGCATGGCAAGACCTTTGCTGGGATTCCTGTGTATGGTGCAGTCCTTGAAAGGGCTGCGGAACTGCTCAAAGTCGGGAGTCTTGAAGTCCGGCACTACAGATGGGGGCAACGGGCTGTAGGAGCAGCCACTTGAAAGGCTCGTGTCACTGCCTTTACGGTCGGTTGGAGGCAGGCTGCTCTTTGACCTGAAGGTTCACAGTAGCAGTGACAAGCAAAGAGGTGAGGGGTGAGTAAGTTCATATCATTAAGAAGCAAAACTAAATTCTGAGGCCTCCTACAGAAAACCCATTGTACGGTAAAACTGTGGTGGTAGGAACAGTGCTTGTACAAATTTTGGGGTGATGGGAATTGCTCTTTGGTCCGGCAGAGGTTTACTAGCCCACAATGTATTCTAGGATGGTTGTGTACCGATTGTCGCCCAGGGGCGTTTGATATGAACCTCCGCTACGAAATACGTATGACATGGAGCTACTCCTGCTGTCACAGAATGCGCAACTAGCATGCACGGATGCGGAAACCCAAGTGCGGGCTAGAGTGCCACACCGCCAGTTCGTCAGAATATACCTTCAGTCACGGAGTGTCCTATTATACTATAGGTGACTCTGGCACTAGCGTGCATGGGAGATGTAACACACGGCGCTTTAGCCAGAGTTTAAATGATGGGTACTCACGAATTTGTCTAATCTAAGTTCTTTCGGCACAATTTGGCTCCATGTGGCCTCAATTCACTTGGCCGCAAAAAATTTAGCAAAGGTTAAGCTGTTACACTACACCTTTTTGACTTTTCAGGCTCACCAATTCAAATCTATTCAAGAAGTTCACAAGGGTGCCTTCCTTTTTTCTATTTAAAACAAAACCAAAACCCCAAAAACAAATCGACAAGCATGTTCGAAGCCCGAAAGCAAGAAGCCTAGGAAATCCGTGTAGTACCCATCATTACGATAATGGTTGAACAATCGCAGAGCCAGAGTCCTCTCTAGTCCATTTTCGTAAGCTATGCCTTCAATGACATGTCCTAGCCTCCAAGAATGCGTGCACTAATTTTAAAAGCCTTAATGCACTTTCGTATGCCTTCATATATAGATTACAGATAACATTGACGTCGCACTCTTTTTTTTTTTACACATCAAGGAATGCTGTGCTGTCAATGTGGCAGCCACGTGTGGACAACAATGGGGGCCGTGAACTCGAGCATTGAGACATGCTATGAATGGTGGACGAGGAATGAAGAGAAAGAAGATGATCTTGGCAAAAGAGCTAGGCCTCAGAACGTCAACATGCACCACTGTTGGGGACACGCAGACCTGAAAACTCTCCCGTGGTGCTGGCATTGCCCTAAATCTCCCAAAAAACATCAACACCACCGCACTAACCCCAACAGTACTTCGGTCAGGTGGGAGGCGGCTCTACGCCGCTCCCTCCTGGCCGACCAACTTTGGCCGTCCAGCAGGCCCGCGGAGAAGCTGATAGGCTTGGCCTAACAGTCCCGACGGGGGAGTCGCCCGCTGCGCGCTGACGCGCGCCTTGCAGGACCACAATAAAGTTTCGCAACCAACCAACCGCGGTAAGAAAATACTGTTCAGCCCCTTTATGAGGGACGTGCAAGGGCAGAAATTCTTGTCTTTATATGAGGTGTCTTTTACACGCAGGGTACCATGCATTTCCCTATCAACCCCTGTTTGAATGAAGGCACACTGGTATTTCTAACACCCATTAGTCTGTTACATCAGTTTCTTTATGAAGGGGTTCAACTGTAATAACAATAAAGGACACTGCTTCTAAAATTTTCAGGCCTTCATTTACCACCTGCAAAGCATTCCTTATTCACTTTCGGTGCAGTACTCTTGTGTCTTGCGGAAAAGCTAACTAGCATTAGGAAGGCGCTAGTGTATGTCGCAGGTCGCTACACACCTGATTCATAAATTTCACACGTGCGCACGGGTCGTGCATTCAAGACTGCAGTTATAATTGTTGCTGCCTAAAAACTTCACTAGAAACTATTCAAAGCAGTTCGCAACCTTGTGGTCCCAAGACGCAGTAATAGAAACATATGCCAGATTTTTTTTTTGATGCTCATACTCTATATTGTCTGGTGATACAAATTTCTCATGATTCGAATATTATTGGTGAAACCGCAACATTCGTATCACAAATGTTTTAGGGCCAAACAACGAAACGTTCCTTTCCTCAGTGAGGAAGCCTTCATTTTTGTGAGGCCGCCTTATGTCACTCTGAAAGCTTCCTCACTGAGGAGCCCTCGGTGAAGGCTTCCTTGGCGCTTCCTCAGCTTAAGGTTGCTTTGGGGCTACCTTCGTGCGCTGTTAGGTCCGCTCCTTGCCCTGAACGAGCGCTTCGCCTCACAGCTAGCCCACGTGATGTTTTCGTTTTCGAGGCAACCCTCCCACCCCACCTCTGCGGGGAGACACGAGCGGCGAGCGTGCGTGCACGGTGCCAGACACGACGGAGCGCAGTAAAATAAGAAATGGCGTCGTGGGCGGACGGGAGTGCGGCTGACTTCAGGGATTTCTTGAACCGCGTTTGTGATTTCGCATTTGGAGAGGTCTGCCGGTATTCACCGGCAGTGAGGATAGTTCGCGATGCGGTCAACCCCATGGAATTCTACGATGAAGAAGATTTTTCATTGAGGTTTCGTTTCACCAAGGCGTCTGTCATTGCGATCATGTCGGAACTACAGTTGAAAAAGAACACGGACCGAAGGGGAACTCCGCTCCCACCGCTGCTGAAGGTGCTCATCACGCTTCGGTTTTACGGCACTGGTGCCATGCAGACAGTGGTTGGCGACCTCGTGCGCGTCTCACAGCAGTATGTGTCGCGTTGTGTCTGGGAGATCACCAAGGTCATATGTTTGCGTCTGTTTCCCAAATATGTGCGACTCCCCGATGCAGCAGACGCGAATGCTGTGATGGCCCGCTTCTACGCAATTGGCCTATTTCTAGGTGTAACAGGGTGTATAGACTGCACGCACGTCCCGATTGTGAGCCCTGGAGGCGAGAACCCCGAGGTCTTCCGCAACCGCAAGGGATACTTCTCACTTAATGTGCAGGTAAAGTGACGCCTTCGTCTCATTTTTTTTTCTTTTCTTAACCTGTTTGATGTGTGTAACTTTTGCGACAGCGTTGTATAGACGCAGTTTTCAAAGCTGTGCCGTTGCTGTAGAAATAGGGTTACTTTTGTTGCACATGCCCATGGTGAATACACGCCATTCAGGTACCACTGTCCGTTGCCAATTTTTCTTTTACATATGTAACGTACAACTTCATAAAGGTACTCTATTGAATGTCACTTTCTTTTTAATCGCCATTTTTTAAGTAGCTTAGCTCGCATTGAACATGGTAATGTGATAATCAGGAATGTCGCACCATGACTATGTTGTGTATCAGTAACTTAAAATAAATTTCGGTAAATATGCACCATCAATGCACTGATCTAAATTGCATAACTGTCATGTAGGTTGATAAAAACCAAGGGTTGTGAATGCCTGTTGTATTAGCCACTTCTTATCCGGGCACAGTGTGCTTAACAGTTGCATGAGGGTTTGTGGTAAGGAAGTGCACATTTTTAAAAATTTCCAAGTTACACACATTGAAACATGGCTGTTGCTTTTGTGTGCAACTATTTCTAAGAAATGCACAATACTTGATTCGCAGGCTATCACTGGTCCCGAGCTCCAATTCTTTGATGTAGTTGCCAGTTGGCCTGAATCTGTGCATGACAGCAGAATATTACCAACAGCAGAGTGATGGCTCTCTACGAACAGAAGGCTGTACCTGGCGTTCTCCTTGGTGACCAGGGGTATGCGTGCCTACCATTCCTCATGACACCACTGAAGAATCCTCAAACACGTGCAGAAAAGAGGTAACAGCACATGAACCTCAGCATGGAAATTATAATAGGTGCGCTACTTGGCACAATAGTACTTGAAGTACTAAAGTTGCAGTGTCCCTTATGAAAACTAGATTAAAAACCTGCCGTTTATAAGATAAATGTCAAAATTTCTTGGAAGAAATGAAGTACCTGCAACTGTAAAGCCCACTATAAAAACAAAGAGAAAAGGTATTCCTAGACGCAAGCCACTTAAATTTTAAATTTGCTCCCATACAAGCATACACATGCTTTACTTCAGTCTCTGAACAGGTTTACTGTCTGCTGTCCCACAGCAAATTTTTTGTTATCTCGAAAAGCATACCCATGATGTGCACATGCCAATAACACAGGATGTATCAAAACACATTTAAAATGGAACACGCAAGTTGTTATCTTCAAAAACAAAACTGTTTCTTCCTAATAATTGTGATGATGTATCAGTGGCGTATCTTGACATGTTCACAATGCTTTTGCATATCGCTTGCTGCTCATGCATGATTTGCACATTCTCTCGTTTTGTGCAGGTACAACAAGAGCCAGATAAAAACAAGGAACAGTGTGGAGCGTACATTTGGAGTGTGGAAAAGGCGCTTCGCATGCCTCCGGGTAAAGCTGCTGACGGACACTGATCGGTCTGCAGCTATCATAACAGCATGTGCAGTGCTCCACAACATTGCCTGTTTGCGTAGGGACCCATGTCCACTCTCCGATGAAGCACACCCCGACGTTAATTTACCTGACAACCCCAGCCAAAGAGATCCCGACACTGTTGCTGGTGCACAAGTACACAGCTGCTACATCCGCCGGTATTTTTCCTCTGGGAACGAACACACAGGTCCAGTGCAAACCTGAAGTAAGTGTCTACATTCAGGCACTGTTTCAAAAAATATGTTCCTGCTCTACGTCGTCTCTCTTCAGTCTGGTTGACATTAAAGAGTGCTGCATGCATTTATCCAAGCAGTGTTACTTGCACCGCTGGGATGTTTCAGTAAATGAAAAATGTACATGACACAGCTCATATCTTCAAATGACCTTATGAAAACTTCAAAACATCAGCTGAACAGGCACATGTACATTCAGACACTACACTTGGTGATGTTTAAATATAGCATTTGAGACATCTGGTGTGTTATCTCCAAAACAACGTGAAAAGAACTGATGATTTAACAACAGCAAGAAATATACTTATGCTTGCTGTTGCATGTTAATGTGACAAGTTTCCAAAACATGCTCTCGGATATTCCTTTATTCAGAGTCTGCTGCCAGCAGCTGTTTTCTTAGGAGCGGCTGCTTCAGTTTCTGTACTTCTTTTTATTTTAAGATTCGAAACTTGATTTTGTGCTGGATGTTGCAATTTTTTCTTTGCTCCTTCAAGGTGCTGATTTTGATCTCATGCTCTTCTCTCATACACTCCATTCTTTGATTGTGCTCAATTTCTTTGTGTTTTTTATCTGCTTTCATAGCATCAAGGCGAGCCTCGAGTTCTACGTCGAGTGTGTGCTGCAACAGAGACAGCCTGCCTCCGCGGACATTCCGCACACTTGACTCAGCTGTTGGTGCTTCACTTTGTGCACTGGCTTAGCACCTTCTCTTGGCTCATGTCCGCATCGACTTTGGGATCGTCCAAGCATAAGCTATCTTCACCAACCAGGATGGGTGTAAGAGCTCTGCAGCATTGACTGCATAGCTGCTCGTCGGTTTGGCCGAGTTGTTCTGTTCGGTCTGCAATAAAAGTGTTGTTTCACCATGAAAGATAAGCGAAGAAATGTGAGGAAGAACCTCATGAAACAAATACCAATATTATTCACAGTCTTCGTTTATAGATGTTTGTATACTTTGAAATGACAATAAACACCATTACCTGCATGCACTGACAACAGCTCACTTATGTATACGATACTGGTGGGGCAGCATGCACAGCACGTTGAACATATTTCTATGCATGAAAGAAAAAATTCCAGCGTGATTGGCACAGGCGCTAACCCAAATAATTGAAAGAGAGCAATCTACCAGAATGTCATATTTCGTTTGTGCATTCTGCACTGTTACTAGGTACACAGAAAAGTAGAGAAGTCGGCCGCAAGGTTGATCACTGCCAGCTGGTCCATTTTCACAGATCAGCCCGTTCAGAATTTCCGACGCGCTTTGGGCTGCTGGCGTGGCAAGCGGCCAGTCGCTGTCAAAAGGATTTGGCACCCGCGTGGTCAGGTGCGGAACGATGCCTTCGATATGCGCGAGCCTTTCATCCATAGGCGGTGGCGGGGGGTACCTGTAGTGAGGACGTCGAGGATTTGCTTCGCTTTCTCCCGCTTCCACCT